GAATTTGACAAGAGAGGGAAGTCAAATTGTGAAAGGAAGGAAGCCAAATTGTTGCCTTGTCCCTTGAACTGGATGTTGGGAAAATACTTAAATTAGTCCCTGCAATTTCAGTTTTTTTAATAAGGCACTGTGCCTTTATCTTGTAGCTGGAGACACATGCTAGTTGTTTCAGAGATTCTTGAAACTAGTGTGAAGGATGCAGTGTTACTTTAGTGGGTGAATTCATCCCAACGTTACCAATTTTGCACCTTTATGATGAGCTTCAGAAACGTTTAAAACTTACTTTGACCAGGGGCTAAGAGCGACAAAAGAAATCTGTGCATATGCCATGCCAATGAAATAAACAAATGTGGATACTTTGCTTATTCATTCAACTGCAGATGACTGAAAGGTGACAGTCCCAAACTGATGTGTCTGTTTGGAGACTGGGAACAATTTGACAAGAGAATCCTAAATGTTGGATTTATCTTTAGGAGGCCCCTGTACCACTAGAGGGCATGCCATGTTTTGATGCTCGTTGAACCTATGCTCATTGTAGTGTATACGAGGCTGTTGATGTAGCCTTTGCCACTCGTTCAGTTATGACTGCTAATTAATATATCTGTTAAATAGTGGGTTCCATGGATGAACAGACTCCCAGACTCTGGCAGCACAGTCCTGCAATGTTTCAGTTCCAATACATAACACCCCTCCCCCCTAAGTTCCAAAGCACCTTAACAGGCATAGTCCTCAAAGTACGCTGGCTTGCGTCGCTCTCTCTGAGAACGCTGTGGTTCCTGCAGTGGTGGAGATGGAAACGGAGCTGGGCTTGGTGAGACAGGGACCCTCTGGAGTTCTGTGGGGCTGGAACAGAGCCCAGAAGGTCCATCGTGGCCTGTGTGGGGCTTCCTTCTTCTCAGCACTCAGGCTGTCAACTGTTGTGTGGGGGGGCTCACTCTCAGTTGGTGGCAATGATGGTTCCAGGCCGCAATCCTCCTCCTCAGCTGAGGACAAGTCCGGCTCCTTGGGCAGCAGGTGGCGGCACAGCTGGTCTATGTGTCTGCGTAGAAGCTGGCCGCCATCTGTTGATACCTCGTATGAAAGGGGTCTGGTGACTTGGGTCACCCTTGCCGGGCGTGGGACCACTGGAATAGTTCCATGCGAAGACAGGGTTACCTGGAAAGAACCCGTGGGGGGCCTCCTGACTCACTGGAGATTGGCCACTTCCAGGGCATGGTCTGGGTGCAAGCGGTCCAATCACGTTGTGAGGCAGCGGCCCATTAAGAGCTCAGCAGGGCTGTGGCCGGTGGATGTGCTCAGGGTCACTCGGTGGCTGAACAGGAAGACAGCAAGTCGGCAGTTCCAGTCTCCATGGATGAGCCATTTTAGAGCGTCCTTGGTAGTTCACACCTTCGTCTCGGCTTGTCCATTGGTCACCAGGTGGAAGGGAGCAGACTGCATGTGCCGGATGAGGTTCCATTCCCCTAAAGTGAAGACTGTGCCATTGTCTGTCACAACCATGTCCAGTAGGCCGTGGGAGCTAAAGATATGTCTCAGAGCCCGGATGGCTGCATGGGATGAGGTGGATGCAACTGGCATGACTTCTAGCAACTTGGTGTATGAGTCCACTAGGAGAAAGAACAGCTGCCCCCGGAATGGGCCAGCAAAGTCCAAATGTAACCGTGCCCATGGCATGTGGGTAGACTCCTATGAGTGAATGGGGGCCTTCAGAGGTTTGGGGCATGTCTCCTGGCAGGCCAGGCAACACTGTACCCAGGCCTCAATTTTGCTGTCCATTCCTGGCCACCACACTTAGCTCCTAGCCAGGCTTTCATCTTCACGATTCCTGAGTGGGTCTCGTACAGGGCTCCCAAAAGTCATTTACGCAGTGGTGGGGGAATCACTACCTGGCTTCCCCATAGGAGGCATGCAGAGGATGGTCCAGTAGGTCCTCCACCATCAAAATTTGGTGCACGGCGGCTGTGTCCATGTCCACAAAGCTGAGAGGGAGGCGACTAAGGGCGTCCGTGTGACCCATAGATTTCCCGGGGCGGTACTGCAAGGCATATTGGTACCCCCCCAAAAAAATATGGACCAGCGCAGGACCTTGGACGACAGCATCTGCGGCGTCTGGCAGTCTGAGGTGAGGAGACCGAGCAGGGGCTTGTGGTCAGTAGCGGCTGTACAGGTAATCGTGGAACTTTTTCACTCCTGCCACGATCACAAGGGCCTCTTTGTTGATCTGGGCATAGTTCCATTCGGCTGACGACAGGGTCCTTGAGTAGTAGGCCACCTGCACTTCTCTCCCATCAGGCAACCGATGGCCCAAGACTGCACCAATGCCATAGGTAGAGGTGTCGCATGCCAAGACGACCAGCAGTGTCTCATTGAAATGGGCGGCGATCATCAAAGAATGGCTGGACTCCAGAAATGTTTTTCAAGAGAGAGTCAATCAAATTCTGGAAAATCCCCGGGGCCACGCTCACTCCAAACTGTAACCGCTTGACTCTGAATGCACTTCAGTGTGTGACAATGGTCTGTGCCTCAGCGGTTGGCTCATCCACTGGGATCTGTTGATATGCATGGGCCAAGATCAATTTACCAAAGACCTTGGCCCCTGCCAATGTCACTAGGACATGGCTGACTACAGGCACTGGTTAAGTGTGGTCTGTCAGCGCCTTGTTGATCGTGTGGTCTTTCAGCGCCTTGTTGATCGTACATTTATAGTCTGCACAGATGTGGACGTCCCCATTAGGCTTAATTGGGGTTACGATGGGGGGTCTCCCAGGTGGCGTGGGGAACCAGCTTTAACACTCCTTGCACCACTAAGTGGTCCAGCTCCACCTCAATTTTGGGCTTGAGCGCAAATGGGACTCTCCAGGCCTTGAGGCGGATGGGTTGCACTTCGGGGTTAAGTTGGAGTGACACTAGGGGCCCTGTGTATCAGCTGAGGGTCCCATTGGAGATGGCAGGGAATTCATCACAGCCCTAGCTGAAGTCTGAGGGCTGCACGCGGTGCACCCCCGTTACCTTGAACCCCAAGGGCTCTGCGTAAACTCACTTAGGCTTGCTCTCCAAAACTAAAAAATTTGCTTGTAGGGCTTGTTTCCTCACAGGGTTCCTGATTTTATAATCATTTCTGCACATGTACAGACATAATGCCAACTGTGCAGGTTCAAAAAGCAGCATGCACACTGTAAGGCATTTGAATGATTCATCCAACTATGCAGGAATAAAGTGATGGAGAACTGGAAGTGATTCCATGCTTGACAAGTACAATTTAATGTTCCTGCTTCTTCACTTATCAAAAAGCGATTTTTCTGTTAATACTGCAGGTGCAAAAGCTGCTGCAGACTGCAGCATGTAAGTAGCAAATGCAGCTTCTTTGCCAAGGCATGACCAGGTAGTGACCCTATATCACAGATCAGCTATTGTGTAGGCACAAAGGTGCTCAGCACAGCACTCAAGTCAAACCTCAAACAAAAAGGTGAGTCAATCTACTGAAGGGCCATGATTCACTGGTAAACAAGAAATTCACCCACAGTAAGTTCAAATGTTGTTTATCTTTGCGTCACAGTTCTCAGCATATCTGGATGGAATTGAGGATACTGGGCTAAACTCATGATAAGGTAGTTCATATATCAACATTATCTAATGTTGTAAGGAGATTAATCAGCATTCCTCTTGGCTTTGAATCTTAGCAGCTTTTAGAAGTGTGTCCTTTTGGGAGTGCATAGTTGCAAGGATTTGGGTATAGCAAAGGAAAATGGTGCCCAGCAATAGTGAGAGGGGGGTGGCTGAAGCAAAAGTATGGCAAGAGGAGGAGAAAAAGGGAAATACCACAGGGTAGTGAGTGGTAAAAGAAGAACAGAGATTTAATCCCCCCAAAGAAAGCTCCCTTTTCATAGAACCACCACCAGTCCCACCATTGCTCCCTCTCCTCAGCGGTCCCACCACCATTGCTTCTTTTCAGCAATCTCTCAGGCAGTGATGCTGCATGTAGGGGAGGGGAAGCCAGAGGCAGGTGGAGGAGGAATAACCACTACCCACCATGCCACCAGAAAAGGAGCCACTCCCTTCCACAGGACATGCCCCCACCTCCAGCTCTGGTACCTAACTTATATAGCCATGTGAGGAGGAGTGGTGTCACTGCTGGCAGGCAGGATCTCAAGTAAGTGATGGGGGGGGGGAGAAAGAGTGATAGGGGTGGAGAAATGAAGAAAGAGGGGGGGTGTCTGGGGTCAGATCTCCCACCCCTTCACTTATGTTAAATAGTGGGTTCCATGGATGAACAGTCTCCCAGTCTAGTGATCAGCTCTACTTTATTCAGTGATTTCAGCAAGAACAAGACTGTAGACTAGAGCCTCAGTTTGGTTATATTGCATGCAATGGCCACACCCCAACACATCCCACTCCCAACGATAGGCTATTTACAAAACTTTACATCTTAATTGGTTACTGCCAGAATCCTGTTGGTCTATTGTTATTCGGTTCCAAGCTCACCCTGTCTCTGGCAGCACAGTCCTACACCTTGATTGGTTACTGCCACAGTCCTTTTGGTCTATTGTTATTCGGCTCCAAGCTCACTCTGTCTCTGGCAGCACAGTCCTGCAATGTTTCAGTCCCAATACATAACAATATCCTTATAATTCCCACTGGACTATGAGCCTTCCAGTGATCTCACACATTCCCCTTGCTGATCACACTGGGCTTTTAAATGTATGAAATGGGCCAGGGCTTCCAAGGGGAGGGAATAGGGTAACCAAATTCCTGGGGGCATGGTCACTCTGGGAGGAACCTATTACTTTCATTTGATGGGTGGATTGAGAGGGACTCTCAGAAAGCATTTTTGACTGGGGTGCCCATAGCAGTTCTCAAGATCCCAGAGATAAATCATTGTGAACACAAAAAGCTGCACAAATAGGTCAAATTTACAATCCAGTGGCACCTTTAAGTTCAACAAAGGTTTAGTTTGCTTGCAGAAGGTGATGTTATCTTTCTCTGGAGGCTGTCCATCCAGGCTATACCATGGAACTGGTGTCTCCAAGTTTCAGGAACAGCTGCAACAAGAAGTCATTCTTACCCACAGCTCTTCTCTAAAGAATCATACAGTGGATTGAAAACATCACTCAGAATAAGCATGTAAAGTAAAATCACATATGCATTAGGATGCCATGTATGACAACTGAGCTACATTGGTTTCTTTACGGAGGAGGGTGGGGTGTTGTTCTTCGATTTTTTTTTTTAGTGCTAAGGAGACATTAGAGATGCTGCAGTGGTTGACATTTGCATTCCCTTGGCTCTGTGTATGACCTTCAATGGTTCACAATGCTTGCTATCAATGTGAAGCATTACAACGCACTGAATTTTTCACTGTCATAGCTGAAGCATCTGAGAAAGAAGACTTCCCCTGTCACCTCTTCACATCATGATCTGTTTCTCCAGAAAAAGGTGTTGGCAGTAATTGGCAGATGGGCCCACTGGGTGCCCAGGAGAGTTTCTCCTTCTTCATCTCATCCCAGGTGCTTTAGACACACAGTTCACAAGGTGCCAAGTAGTTGTTAGGGTGCATTAGAGTAGGATGTCATTCACCCTGGGAAATATGCTTCTTCCCCCAACCCTGACAGGTTGGAGGCATTCTGAGAAGCAGAGCTGACAGGATGCACATGGGATCCTAATGTTGGCCCAATCTGCATCTAGCATTTGCTCCACTGTTTTACCAAACCCACGTTGGAACAGAAATTCCCCTCTGCATTGCATGCCACTTTCACTTTGATTGATTGTCGGATTTTATGGCAGTGTCCAGACTGCATGCTGCTTTCACTTTGTTTGATCTCTCGGTTTTATGGAACTGTCTGCATAGATTTATGGCCATTTTACGGTCGTTCAGGGGTGACTCTGCAGTTAGTACGGAGTTGGCCTGGGGTATCTGAATGTGGTTTTGACCCACATCTTTTTCTGTTCCAGTGTGGGTTTGGTAAAACAATGCAGCAAATGTTAGATGCAGATTGGGCCGTTTTGAGCATAAATGTGGGGAATTCAGGAACCCTTTGCCCCTCCTAGTGATATCATTGAAAGTACCATGGTGTCCCAAGCCCTGCTTGCAGGGAAGGGCGGCCTATTAAATCCAATTTAATAATGAATAAATAAATAAATATGATTAAAATCAGGTTTGAGAGAGTTTGGTTTGCCTGATCCTAATTCCAAAGTAAGCCCATAGAGGGCTCACCTTTCAGTAGAGTATACTCTGTTAATTCCAGATTGTGCATGTGACATTCTCTATACCTAAGAAGTGGAATTTAAATATCTTTTCCCCAGTTAGTATGTTGGTTGTGGGAAAATCCCATTTCCTAGTTGCTCCAAACATACCAACAACAAAGATTTTAAGTGCAACTGGAATACTGTCTGGCCTGAGGTTCTATGCTGCAGACACCTGTCACCTAATGACTATGATCACCGGTGACCAGCATTACATTGGTCCACTCTTCTATGCTATTTTTCTAAGTTACATGCTAGATGCTGCACAAATCATAAGTGATCACATAGTCTTTTAAATTTTTAGGAGAAAAACCAGTCAGTTGGGGAAAATCTAAGCATGGCCACCTGCTTTCCCAAAGTATCACACTATAATTTCATATGTCCTTTCTTTCTTAAAATGTGTTATTTACTGTGTATTCATGCTTCAGCCCTGAAGAACACATAATACACAACTAAAAGAAGTGAAAAGCAAGCACCATGAGGGGTACCTTTTCTCATCCCATGTGGAAGCAGCTATTATCTAACTAGCTCAGATCAGTGTAGCACTACATTGGTGCTAATCATAGCTCTAGATATAGAAATGTGTTTCTTGCACAAATAATTCACCATCATGAAAGACCCTTACCGGTTGTTTACAAAACTGTAAGATCTCTTGACTTCTACAGTTGCTTCTTTAATCAGTACCTGCCTAAAAGTAGGCCCCTTAGCTAGGATTTCTCTTTTCCCACAGGAGGATGTGATCAGATTTGGTTTACCTTGCTCAAAAACGGGATATTCACCAATGATCCGAGAAATCCAAAGGCAATTGGGAAGAAGTTCCTGATAACACAGAAGGCTTTGTTAGTTACTGCTGGAAAATGTTTAGTTGCACCCTCACATTCCTCCAGATGCTAAGTGCTTGTCATATCGAAAAAGGATATAGGAGCTAATCTTAAAAGTACACAGGGAGCACGGAAGAAAAATGCACAACCCTCCCCATGCCTGCTCCTTTCCCTCCAGCTAAGACAGGAACTGACCCTGAAAGAGGGGCAAGTGTTGCAGGGAGGTAGACTTAAGTAGTTGACATGTGATGACTGTCAGCCTGAATATGTTGCATCTGATGTTACCATTGGGGAGGTGAGGATCTAGTCCATAAAAAGTTGCGCTAGAATAAAGACTTGCTAGTCTTTAAGGTACCACCAGACTTCTGTTTGTTTTTGCTGCACACTTTAGCTAAGCTCTGGGTCAACATATCTACCACATGGACTGTTAACAGGTGAGGCCTGGGAGTTCTATGCTCAGAACAATTCCCAAGTGCATGTGAGTCTGATTCTGATCAGAACTGTGGAACATGGGGGAAAGGGGCATAGATCTTCCCACCACCTTTCCCCCCCCCCCATTTGAAACTGCCCTAAGAAGCCAATATTTACTCAGCCTGGGAAATGTGCATGTACTGATGGCTACATATACATTTCCTCAGCAGGGCAAATAGCAGCTCCCTGGAGCTGTTGTAGGCTGGGAAAACAGAAAAATTTAAGCCCCTTCTTTCAGTGCACCACAGTCTTGTTCCAAATAAAGCCGCCACAAGTTCCAAGCACAGAGCGCCAAGCATTTGTCTGATTTATTTATTTATTTATTAAATTTATATCCTGCCCTTCCTACCGTGGCGGGCTCAGGGCGGCTAACAACATAAATATACATTTAAAATTCCAATATAAACAACATTAAAATAAATTTGATTGAAAGTCCTTGTGGCTGCTACAAGGCAGGTGACTTGGTAACATGGCTACCTCTCTGGAATTTGGTAGCTGAATATCTTTACTATAAGTCATGGAAAGCCACCGGTGTGTGTGTGTGTGTGTGGGGAGTCTCAGCATTAAAGGAATTTACCTGGGAACCTAGCTCCAGGGCTGCCAGAGGACCACAATGTGGCCCCATATCCTCCACCAGGATCATATAGTAAGAGTGGCAGACCTGGCCTTTGGCTCCTGAAGTTCTGGTCCACTGTCCATAGAAAATAATAGATGGTAAACCTGGCTATCGCAGTCCAGAGGCCAGGTATACTAACCATTATTTAACATGCTCCCCAGCTGTTTGGATGCACCCACCCTTTAAACTTTGAATGGGCATTACTTTCAATGAGGTACAAGGGGTCTCCCTGTGGAAAATAATGGCTGTTCAAAGGGCTGATACGCCACTGACTAGCTGGGAAGTGCTCCCTCCTCCATAGCCACTCCTGCCTCCCCAACAGGATTCCCAGTTCTCATATTATGAGCACACGTTCAAAAGCCAGATCAGAAGGGAACAGAGATGTGTAACATCAGCCGTCACATCTGAGTATGATGCTCTGGATTAGCCAGGCTTTCTGCCTCTCTATTGAGTACCGCATTCTGATTGTGTTATCTCAATAGAGACCTCATGTACCTGTTCTCTAATTGGGAGACACAAGGGAGCCAAAAACTTGGAAGGATACAAACCAGGCTTTGTTGCAACAAGGCGGGAAAAACCATACAAGTTGTTTTTCCAAAGTTTACAGGGTTGCATACACACTTAATATACATTTTTGACAAGCAATGGCATATTCCATATTTGACTATTTCCTATAGTTACGTGTCTCAAAGTTTATTCTAGGGAACTTGACATTTCACCCGAGCCAAGTCCTGTCCTTTCATGTTATCAGATATCAATGCAAGCTACCCTATTTAGTGTACCGCCCAAGCGCACCAGTAATCCCTTAATAGATATTCTCTAAGCATTGCTTTGAAGTAAATTTAAAAGCGCATATGCATAACTTTATCTCGTGTTACTATTTTCTTCTTTTTCCGCAGGCTGTGGAAGGTCAGTAGTTCAGCGGTTCAAGACCCGGGTGCCGCAAGACAGGGTGAGCTCCTGTCTCTAGTTCCAGCTCCTGCCAACCTAGCAGTTCGAAAGCAAGAAATTGCAAGTAGATAAATAGGGACCACTTCGGTGGGAAGGTAACAGCGTTCCATGCGCCTTGGTGTTTAGTCATGCCGGCCACATGACCACGGAAACGTCTTCGGACAGCGCTGGCTCTTCGGCTTTGAAACGGAGATGAGCACCGCAACCCTAGAGTTGGATTCGACTGGCTTTCGAGCAAGGGAACCTTTACCTTTACCTTTAGGTGCTACACAGGTGTGTTTCGATTAGTATGCATAGTTGAGTCGGCTGGGCATGACAGTTAATGGCTTAATCAGTTACTTATCAGATACCTTTTGTTAGCAAAGGCTGGATAGATTTCTAAGGCCTCAATCTATGACCCTATAGAGTTTTGGGGTCTTATTGAAATTAAGCTGATTCATCAATTGCTATACTTTTTATTCCTGCTTCCAGCTCAGGACACTGAACTCAGGTCTTAGAGTGACTATATTCAGATGAAGCCATCCATGATCTTGGCCTGACATCTGTCTATTACTCTTTGTCCATAGAGCTCAATGCAGTGCTCATGGTTCTCTCTTTATCTCTCTCCTCCTCGTCCTCCATGTTATCATCACAGTCATCGTCTGAGGTAGGTTATGCTGAGAGAGAGAATGACTGGCCCAAGCTCACAACACCCCAGTTCAATTGACAGTTTCCCTTGGAAGTTTTAGTGTATGAGTCACCTGAAGAGGTTAATGAAGCCGTAGGTCTCCAGCAGCATGCCCAGGACAGGCCACTTAAGCAACACAATGAGTATGCCTCCCAAAAAGAAAGATGTTCCCTTAAGCTTTTGCCTTTGGAAGAAGAAGCCAAAGGTCCTCTTTAGTCCAATGATAATGGCCAGACCAGACAGGAACAGGACCTAGGGAGGAAAGTAACAACCCTCAAGGTTTATTAAGATGTATTGACAACCAGTATAATATAATCTCTCATGGGTACAGGGAATAAAGGGCAAACAGGATCCCATGCAGTGAGTTGGAAATTTCTGACCTTTATGTCCCTTTTAATAAGTCTGCTTTCTTTCTCACTGGAGGATAATGTGAGTTCTGCAGTCTCTCTTTCCTTTGCCCAGAAGGAATTCTTCAGCCATCCCATTGCTGACATAGGCAGTTTCTGGCCACATGCTAATATGACACATCATGGTTTTGCAGCAGCATCTTCCTCATCTCATGTAGTGTCCCACACCTTCTCCTTGCCTCATGCACTGCATATACCGGTGAGTGCACAGAGCATAATTCTGCAATTTGCTAAGATTGTTAGCTCAGATCATGCCATTAAAAGCTCAAACCTAAGCATTTACTTGGAAAAGAGTCTCTATGTTTAAGATGGAATCTGTTTCCAAGAGTTTAATGATCCTTAAGTTCTAATGAAGCTTTGAGATCTGTAACAGAGAAGCACTTAGTAGTTGTGTAACAATATACACAATCTTCTTATCTACCCTGGGAAGAAAAAAAATCTGAAAGTTTACAAGAACTTACATTTCCAAATGCGAGCAGCACAGAGTCCATGTACAACAGCATTCCAAAAAGAAGGAAAAATGCCCCAAAGCCCACAAGTCCCACACCAATCTCTGCAACACAGGAAATGAACATAATCAGAATTGCAGCAGTCTGAAGGGACAAATCTGGGCAAGCAAGGTTGTTGGGTGTTACAAGTTAAAACACTTTCAGTATTTACTGGGTTAATGATGTTTGTTAAGTCACATGTTTGTTTGTAACCAATCTATTTAGATTATAGGAAGCCCGGGAACTTTGGAGCTAGTTTGCTGCTCTGATTGGAAACAAAGTGTCAAGTATTAGCATTTTATGGCTACTCTTCCATCTTTGTGTTTCTTTGTTCTGACGGAGAAGAAGACGCCATTCCATTCCAGTTTTACCTTCTAGCTGTAAGGATGTAGGCATATAAGCTCTTTGTTATTTTATATCCTGTGTACCTTTTTCCCATGCTAGGTTATAGTAAACTTTTATATTCTTTTAAAACACACCATGGACTTAGTCTCTTTAATACTCTGCTGATTTACTTTAAATAAGAATCCCAACAAAGGTCCATCTGGGGCCACTTCAGCTGCTTGGCATGTGGTCCGTAGGGCACAGGCCTCACTCTTACCAAGGCATTGATTCTTTGACTAAAGGTGTGCAAGGCTGTGTCTAATTCTGTGCATCAGATCCCACAGATTGTATTGTCATCCACAGCAATGGGTCACCTTGTTCACCTCCACGTCCTCATGCCCACTGCAGACTGGGTGAACCCGCCAGCCCCCAAAATAGAGCCAGCCATGTATTCTTCCCTTTGCTTCACTTTCCTGGAATACGGACACCAAGACCCCTGGGACCAGAGAAGGGCTAGGTGAGGAGAGCAGCACACTGAATAAACTGATCCAACCTCTGAGGGCAGAGCTGATGTCAGCCAAAATTAACAGCCAGCTCTGGGGATAGTGCGTTATATGTTGTCCTTCTTGAAATCTGCTAGTTTTAAATTTTACTTACCCCTTTACCAAACAGCACCTGACTATCCATTTCTCAACTTCAAGCATGGATCTATTTTATTCATAACCAACAGCTTCCCCCCCACACACACCCCCCGACAGTGGTCACAAAAGTTACCAGCAGTAAAGGGCATTGGGGAGCTGAGGGGTCTAGTTGTGCTTGGCATGAAAACAAGCCCAGCAGCTAAAAGGTGATCAAAAGCTGGTCCACTCTTTTGACTGTACTGTTCCCTCCTGCACCGTGTAGTTTTACTTTGCATAGAGATTACGTATATAGGTACTCCTGGAAGGATTCTTTGGGCGACCAAGAGGCAAACAGTGAGCAAGTCTCTCTTGTGATCCCTCCTGGGCCAGATGCAGATTTAGGAACAAAGTCCTCAGAGGGTGAACAGGAGGAGCTAGGGGCTGCCCGGTGGCGGCGGCGGGGGGGGGGGAGATCAGGGGGCTCACTGGATGAGATGAGCATCACCAGAAGAGGACCAGAACCCCTGGACTCCAGAAGCTTGACTAAGGGGCCTGCTCCTGAATCCTCCGCTCAGAGGAAGCTGCCAGCTTGCCAGGCCTTGAGGTGGCTCTCCTCTTCCCTGTAGGACAAGGCCCCGGGACCCCAGGTTCTCCCCTAGCCCAGTGGGAGTGGTGGAGACAGCAGGCCCACAAAGAGGCACACATGGGCATATTGCAAAGAAATGCCAAGTTTGCAGCCCTTGCTCCTGCTACTGAGCTTGATCACTGGTCTGCAATGGGTAGTTCCCTGCAGGACTGGGTCTCAGTCTGCATGAAGCCCAGGAACAGAAGGGGCTCCCCCCCCCTTCAGGATATATAAGCCCATAGACAGATTAGAGGGTCTTGCTGGTTCTACCAGAGCAAAGGGTAGGGACCTGGAGAGCTCTCAGAATCACAGATCTTTAAACTACAGAGATCAGTTCCCCTGGAGAAAATGGGTGCTTTGGAGGATGGATTCTATGACATTATACTCCACTGTGGTCCCTCCCTTCCCCAGCCCCTGCCATCTCCATGCTTGAACACCAAACCTCCAGGAATTTTCCAACCCAGAGTTGGCAATCCTAAGTGTGTCCCCATGAAACCTGGAAATTTGGACACAGCCAACTCTGGAAGGTGATGTGACATTAGTGCTGCCCTGAAGGGCAGATCCCAGCCTCCAGCTACTGGGTGAATCCCTCCTCTGGAGCAGACTTCAGTACCCAGCCGCTAAGACAGAACACTTTCCCCACTCTCTCTGTTTTCTTCACCTACCCATCTTGCTTCAACCCCCTGTGTAATCTGCTCATGGTGCATCATTACAGGACCCCCTGCTGGCCCATTCTGAGGGTGCTCTGCCTATTGGGTCAGTCTGTAGGTACAACAGGAGTGCTCACAAAAGCTGATCAGAAAAAGCTGAAATCTGACTCCTCTCCCCTGGGAGCAGAAGCAAAGAGCTTTGCACAGTCTCTAATCTTCAGTTTTAAAAAATAGTGCTACAGTGTAGGCAACAGTGTAAGGTTATGGTGACATACTCTGAAAGACAAGCTGAGCTGGCAAAGAGAAACCCTGATTAGACCCAATTACACTTGCATGGTTAACTTGACACCACTGCTATGTCAATAATGGAGTAACTCCTCTCCACAACCTGTGGGATGTAATCCTACTCACTCTGGAGTTCTGTGATCTCCATCATCTTCGCTGTTGCTCTAGAGGGGAATTGCTAGATGTTCATTTGTCTGTATGTCAGGACAGGGCAGGGTGAGGATGAGAAAGCACCTTACCTAGTCAGTGAACCTTGGAAAGGCCTTTGGCCTTTCTGCGTCACCCTGCAAATCATTAACCTCTTAGTACTGAATATGTCATTTAAAGCTACCAGCCTGTCACTGTGAAGACCCCCTGGGTGTGCGTGTGTGTGTGTGTGTGTGTTGGTGTGCTATTGCAATGACTTGTTTTGTACTTTCTGTTTTCCTGCTTCAAAAAAAGATTCTGAACAGCATCAGGCCATATGTTTTTATCAAAGGGGGAAAAGGTTCCTATGGGCAAGGCATTTCCTTGTGGTTGGCAGAAGTAACTGCAATCAAAACTCCAGCTCAGGAAATTCCTGGAGATTTGGTAGTGTTACCTGGGGAAGGCAGAGTTTGGGGAAGGAAGGGTGCTCAGCAGGGCTGTGATGCCAGACAGTCCACTATTTGATGCCACCATTCCTGCCAAGGGCACTGATCTCTGTAACATGGAGATAAATTGTAATATGGGAGTATTCCAGGACATACTTGGAGGACAGCAACCCTGACTCCAAGAGGTCTTCCCAGTACCACTTGCCCAGTTGCAGTTGGGAAAGGATGTAGCTGAAATGCCCATTTTTAAAACAGGGAATGTCTCTAGAGGACAGGGTGGCACATGATCATTGCCTGGAAAGGATATGTATCTAATCATTCCCATATTACATACATACATACATACATACATACATACATACATACATACATACATACATTTTATTGCATTAGCTCATGGCCTTAGCAAACAGCACCAAGAGCAGCATCCCATATGACATGCCATCCTGTCTTCCAGCAATGAATTCAGTGTAGAAAACATGGCTCTTCCTTTTTCTAACAATAGGCTGAGGGTCACTGGTCCAGCGTTGTTCAATGAGATTTCTGGCTGAGTGGAGATTGGAACATGGCTGTCCTGGGCTAGTCAGGCACTCTACTTGTCTCTCTGATCTCATTTCATACAGGCCCTGTCCGTTCACCTCAGGAAATATTTTTCTCTGATGTGTTCTTAGCAGAATTGGTTTCTTTGGAATGCAGGCCTATTCCTGTACAGAGACTGAATGCCCATGGCTTATATAAACTGCTAGTGGAGGAAGTCCATTGTAGAAACTAATTAGAAAATATGAGCCATCAGCTCTATTGCTGCCTAGAGGCATTTGCATGCAGACCTGGAATAAGGAAAGCTGACACCTTCTGTTAGATATAAAAGGGGCAACTTTATTCATTTTATTGGCATTGAACAAAGGGGATCTGTGGCACCCGCAGCCCAGAACCCCATCTATATCTTATTAGCCACTTGCGGCCCACATCTGTGAACAGCTAAATCTGTGGATCACGTGAAAGCTAAACAGATTTTCCAGCAAATTTGGGGTACACTCTAGGTTTGCAGAAAAATCTGAGATCTTAAAAAAAAAAAAAAACCCTATACAGGAGGGGGGAGTAATTCCTCCCAAAGTAAGTAGCATTCTCTGTGCGAGCTCAGAGAATGCGTTTACCTCCAGTGTTCATTGGCAGTACAGGGGAGCTGCATTGAGTTCAGCAGCAGTGCAGCCTGGGAGCCCCGCCGGGATTAGCAGCAGTGGCCGTGCAGCCTGGCAAAGCCCCTGAGTCATGTTGGACCTGGCACGAAACTGGGGAGAGGGAATTTCCACCCCTCCCCCCAAGTGTCAGAGGCCCACACTTGAGCAGATCCCTGACAATGCCAAGAGCAGGGAGGAGGAAAAGAAGCCTTGGCAAGCCCACCTGGAGCAGTTCTGGGTGAGTCACCAAGACTGTGGAGGGGGGGAAGGAAGGAAGCCTCAGTGAGCCCGCCTGGAGCAGCTCCAGAGGAGCCGCCGAAAGTGACGGGGGAAGAGGTGAGCCCGGCAGCTGCAGGGGAGTCTGGGGGGCGCATCAGGCCTTGTGAGAAAGTGGGGGGAGGTGCAATTCCCCCTTTGAGTATTGCGGGCCCCCATTTGTTTTAAACCTAGATGCAGTGCAGGACATTGGTGGTGGGATGCAGAAGACTCAGGCCTCCTCTTGTTTGTGCATCCCTGAATTTACAGGCAAGGCACTCTGACTTTGAGCCATGAGCCGTCACTCATGTACGACTCAGGCTCCTCCTTGCCAAGCCTTCATGATGCTCAAGGGAGGTGTGCCACTTCCTGTCCCCCAGTTAATGGGTCAAGAAGAATAATACCATTCAAGGGCTTCCTTTCCCAGGTCCATGAAGGCACGGAGGCCTCAAGCCTGGTCTGAAGGTTAACTCTTCACCATCCAAATGATGCCCCAGGGTGCTCACCTAAAACTGGTGGCTGTTCTGTTGCCCTTTTCAGAGTAGAGCAGGGGAAAACCCCCCCAGGCAAGTGCCAATCCACCAGAGGGGGGGGAAATCCTACATGGCCCCCAAATGGCGACCAGCTAATGCACCCTCTGAAGTAAAGGGATTGAGAGTAGGTGCCTCCCTTGTTAGTGGTTAAAAAGAGGGGGGGGGTACATACCATCCCTTATATGGCCTTCATCCCCCCACCCCCATATGCACCACAATGGAGGCAGCCTCATGATATCCAGCTCTCCCATCTACCTGCTGATACAAATCAGCTCCTTCCCAACTCTTCCTTGTGTTGAGGGTTCAGGAGCTCCCTTCTGTAAGGCATATACTATGTGCTACCCATTGGTTCCTGGCAAATGGCTAAGGGCACCAAGGCAAGGGTATCCTTTGCAGCAAATGAATCATGAATGAGTAAACCCTTCAAAGTATATTCGTAAGTCTTCTGTGATGATTCAAGCCATCATCTTGGCCATTTCTTTCAGAATTCTTGAGATTGTTTTATGTATTGATCTTCAATATGTTCTGAAGTCCAATGAACCATGGAATACGTATAATTATGATTTAAAAAATCAATCTCATGTTATGGATGATGATCTTTAACAAGAACTCACAAGGGCATTGGTTGAAGGTATCTCTTGAGTGTAGTTATGCACATATGTAGGAGGAAATACACTGGCTCCTCATTGGGACAGTGATGGAATAGGAGATTTATATGGGCCCAAATTATTTCTAGACTTGCTTACTTTGAATCATTGGATTGAGAAGCACAACAATGGTGGATTGTGGTGATAATCTTAATATTACTCCTAGCCTTGTATATCATATGCTACAAAGATTACTGTGCTTTAACTGCATTGTAGGATGGGCTTCAGTTTTCAAAGGGCCTAAAACCCCTAGTCAGAACTCATTCACATGGCATAGAAGGATTTCATTGCCCTGAGGGAAACCATTTCCCCTCCTTTTTAATGCATGGGGCATAATCCTCCCCTGCTCTGCACACAGTATACTACTTGATGCATCCCATGGTTATGCCAGTTTGGCTGGCATGTTTGAACAGTACAAAGGAGACTGCATTCTAAAATCCAATTTCCAAATGAGTATCGGCTTATTAGAAATTACTGTGGCATCAAAGGCAGGGTGCTATCTGTCTAGTGCATTTACTTCCTTCCCTCTCTCCAAGGAGCCTCGGTTCTCCTTTCTGGGCATATGATCTTGTCAACAGGCTATTGGGGGGAGAAAAGGGCCTTACAACTAAGCTGGCCATTGTTTCTTCCTATGTGTAACAGCTGGGGTTGGGGCAAAAGAGGAGGAGAGATATAAGAAAAAGATACAACAAAGAGATCTCTGGGGCACCTCATGGTCACCCTTCTCCATTGCCCACCCCCCCCGGGAAGAATAAGAGGAACAGACAATCTATTTACAAACCATCAATTTTTATTTTATTTGCTTTATACAAACTTGCAAGGTACAAATGCATTTTGTTTTGTTTTCCTTGTGTGAGACTTGACCTTTTGAAGTAGCTACATCTAGAACAAATGCTTCTGGGAGGGAATATTAAGCAAGCCACGGTGGATTTTAATTACTGGAAAGATTATCCCTTGGTTTGGTGTGACGAACCCCCAAGCCACTGACATAGGTTGGTTTGCTTTTTAATAACAAGACTGCTAGTTTTAAATTGTCATAATCTAAGGTCACTTTAATACAGAAAATAGACACCGACATCACATTGCTTCTTTGATAGGTTTTAAATCTAACACTAGTAAAATTTTGCTCCAAATAATGTGCATAAATAATGCAGTTTTTCTTGGTTACAGGTGCAGCCATTGGCATATGAAAGTGTTATGAAAAGGGGGGAAAAGACCCTTAAAACAAAATAGTTTAAAACATGATTCACAATACTGCAAAACTGTGACCCTAAATGTACTCTGCTGAGAGCTCACAGCTTGTAACCTCAAAATGCTTAAAGTGACATTAGCAATACTTGGTCACAGATTCTATCTAGCTATTAATTGAGCAGAGGGCTGGTGAGAGGTGATGGAGAACATTCCTTGATGTCCTTTGTGCCATTTGTTTCAGCCTTCCTAAGTGGCAGAGAGTACTGCTAAAATTACTGGGGGGAGGCAGATTAGTAGGGACTATATTTACTTTCTTGACACGAGTCTCCAAAAACCGTTATAGTCCTTGCTTCAGCCCCTGTAATTCAAACAGTGGTAAAGTGATTCCACTACAGTACTGTGCTCCCCTCAAGGTGATCACCACACCTTTCACAAACATGCATACAAGTAGGACCACTAATCTTACAGTCCTTAAAAGGGGTAGAATGGGGAGGCCACTCAGTGACTTGGGGCAAAGGGAAGCAAGGATCAAGCCTAAGTGGACAATCTTTCAGGAGGCTAACTTCAAACTCCTTCCTCCTCCTGCCCACTGAACTACCCCCATTTTTCAATATGTCAAGGAAGCCTTCACAGCAAGGAAAAACCTCTTCCCAATAACACAGGATGTGCAGAGGTAAGGATAGCAGCTGGGAGAGTGATAGCAGTGAAGTAAGAGAGAAAACCCCATTTGCTTTGCAGTGGGAACCTCTCCGCTACCCACATCAAAACACATTCA